ATTTTGGGTATAATAGAAATTAATATTTTTGTAATAGTTTATTTATATATATATATATATATATATATAATAAATTCATTGAAATATTTAAATTTTCTAAGGATTTGGAAATGTATCCCTCTATGAACAAATAGTTAATACAACTAGTGAACTTTTAAATTAGCAAAGTTTGCCTTAAATTCGATATTCTTGGAATAGCCGATTAAATATTTCATAAAACAATTAATACAAATATTAATAATAATACCAACACTAATAGCATGTGGGCATAGTAATAGACTCTCACATAAATATGTTCAATATCGATTTCTTAAGTCATGAGCGTTTCGTTTTATATATTACATACATGTCATTAACTTTCGAAACCCGAATCTATCATTAATTCTAGGTTAATACCACTTAAGGTAAACCTAAATGATTACTAAATCTTTAATACATTATTATTATACATTAAATCCGCGTTTAAAGTACTAAAAGCTATATATATGTTATGCTAGATTTGGTGGACCATGTAATAACAACTACAAATATATTTCTCATCAACCATCACCAACGGTCTCTAATTTTGAATTTCTAAACAAGAAAAAGTAGAGATTAGTGTTAATTAATCACCTCATTAAAAATGTACTAATCACAAAAAGATCCGTTGCAAACACAAATAAAAGAATAAAAGGTGGGTCCCATTACCTCAATCAGTTCTTTCTCTCTCGTACCCAATTGTCAGTAAGGTAAAGCTGTTTTGTCTAGAAAAGCTCAAAAAAAGTCACTCCCCCAAATCTCATCCCTTCCATAATATTATACCCTCAGCTCACCCACCCCCCACCCACCCCACCATCTGCTTTTTCACTTTATATATACACACATATACATACACAATCCCACACACACACACACACACTCATATCACATAGTGAAGCTCTCTCTTCCATTTTGAGAGAGCTGTATTGTATTGTATCTTCGGTATGTATTTTTTTACGTGTTCAAAAGTTTTTCTTGTCAACTTTTTGTTCATGTGCTGATATTTCTTGTTTTTTTTTTTTTGGATAATGGAAATCTTACAGATTTTTTTTAATGGGTTCGGAGAAAATGAGGATGTTTCCGATGTTCATGGTGGTGGTACTATGTTTGTGGGGTGTCTCAACAGAAGCAGAGTACTTGAAATACAAAGACCCAAAGCAGCCATTGAATTCAAGAATCAAAGATTTAATGGGGAGAATGACTCTTGAAGAAAAAATCGGACAAATGACTCAGATCGAGAGAAAGATCGCCACCCCTGATGTAATGAAGAACTATTTCATCGGTAATAATAATATTATTATTATATTATATATTAATTAACAAACCCTTTTCTTTTGTGTTGGAAAAAGATTGGATTTTTATTTATTTATTTTGTTGTTGTTTGGGTGTAGGGAGTGTGTTGAGTGGGGGAGGAAGTGTACCGGGTCCGAAAGCTTCTGCTGAAGAGTGGGTGAATATGGTAAACGGTATCCAAACGGGTTCTCTTTCGACCCGTTTAGGTATTCCTATGATTTATGGGATTGATGCTGTTCATGGCCACAACAATGTCTATAAAGCTACAATCTTTCCTCACAACGTTGGCCTTGGTGTCACAAGGCAAGTGTGTGTATATATATATATATAATATAATAATAATGTGCTTGTTGACCACAATGTGTGAATTAAAGTTGCTTTCTTTTTTTTATTTAGCATGTGAAAATTGCTCTGTTTTCTTGATTTTTAGTCCTTTGGGTGGGTGGGTGGTTGTGGGGGTGATGTTTTTCATTAAATGCATTCTTGTAATAGTATCACAACTAAGTGGAAACATTAATACATGATTGTGTGTGTGTGTGTGTGTGTTCTTGATTAGATGGATTCTTGTAATAACATCATAAGAAAAGAGGAAACTGATTTATGTTGTCTAATAATCACTTTTAAACTCCATGGATTATGTGGCCTTTCCATCTTGTTCATAAAATCTGCATTACTAACTTAGATCTAATTGAATATTAATTACGAAACAGAGATCCGGAACTTTTGAAGAGGATCGGAGCAGCTACAGCACTCGAAGTTAGAGCCACCGGAATTCCATACGCTTTCGCACCTTGTATCGCTGTAAGAAAAAAAAAAAAAAAAACTTGATTAACTTGCTCTTTGTCCTCCTATGATTCATTTATCTGTTTATTTAACATTTCGTGCAATCTTGACCGTTGGATTTCTTTTTATTTCTTACAGGTATGCCGTGATCCGAGGTGGGGCAGATGTTACGAAAGCTACAGCGAAGATCACAAAATTGTTCAATTAATGACCGATATAATTCCTGGTTTACAGGGTGATCTCCCAACTAACTCCCGAAAGGGTGTCCCTTTCGTTTCCGGAAAGTATGAACCTTTTTTCCCCTTTAAAAATATCACTTTTTTTTTTTTTTTTTTTTTTTTTAACTTTAATTTATTTCCCAAGAGTTTGTTGAGATATAGGTTTCATTTAAATTAATCACATGGGGTTGTGTCCTGTGTCACATGGCATGAGTTTTTATTGTTCTATATTCTTACATGATGGTTACATGCTAACAACTTTGTTACACATTAATTAGGCATTGCATTAATTAGCTCAAATAGATTTTCATTCGGATAATAAGATAACCGTGTCACTATCCTAATAAGCAATAATTCGGTTGCATTATTTTCTTGATGTTAATTTTTCTTATGTTTTCGTTTATCAAGGACAAAAGTGGCAGCTTGCGCGAAACATTTTGTGGGAGATGGAGGCACAGTCGGTGGTGTAGACGAAAGCAATACCGTGATAGATTACGATAAGTTGCTTAAAATTCACATGCCGGCATATTTCGACTCGATTAAAAAGGGTGTCGCCACGGTTATGGTATCTTACTCTAGCTGGAATGGCAAGAAGATGCACGCTAATCATGATCTAGTCACCGGATTCTTGAAAAACAAACTTAAATTCAGGGTACATAAAGATTTACTAAATTAATTTACTTATACTTTCTCTAACTAGAAATGATTTGGCTGATATTAAAATACCCGACTATTTCAGGGCTTCGTCATATCGGATTGGCAGGGTATTGATAGGATCACAAATCCACCCCATATGAATTACTCTTATTCGGTTCAAGCAGGAATTCTTGCAGGGATTGACATGGTTAGTTTTTATTATTTACGATTAAAAAATAAATAAATTTACGGCCGAACTAAATCTTGAAAATTCGATTTTATTGCAGATTATGGTTCCCGAGAATTTTGGAGAGTTCATTGACGAACTGAAGCTCCAAGTGAAAAATAATGTGATACCCATGAGTCGAATTGATGATGCTGTTAGAAGGATTCTAAGGGTCAAATTTGTTATGGGACTATTCGAAAATCCTATAGCTGATCTTAGCCTATCCGACAAACTCGGCAGCCAGGTTCGTTTTTTTTTTTTTTTTTTTTTTTTCCTCGTGTTTATGTTTCTAGAGGTTTTGGAATCACATTTATTTGTTCTTGCAGGAACATAGGGAGTTGGCAAGAGAAGCTGCAAGAAAATCGCTTGTACTGTTGAAAAACGGGAAACATGGTAGTAAGCCGTTGCTTCCACTTCCGAAGAAAACGTCGAAGATATTAGTTGCGGGAACCCATGCCGATAATTTGGGGTACCAATGTGGCGGATGGACAATTGAATGGCAAGGTGTTCAAGGCAACGATCTTACTGCTGGTAAGTGTTGCATTAATTTTCGAATCCCAGAATATATCGTTTGTGATCGTTATTTTGGAACGATATTTCACAAAATCGACTCGAAAGTTGTGATTCTTTATTGGGAATCG